ACACCCAAAGCTATGCCTCACTAAAGCTCCAGGACTTAGTCTAGTACCCTTTTAGTGCTGTGATAAACACCATGACCAAAAGCAATTTAGAGGAAGGAAGGGTGTGTTTGGCTTACAGTCCATCACTGCGGGAAGTGTAGGGCAGGAACTCAAGCAGAAACCACGGCCGAATGCTGCTTACTGACTCCATCACTGACTCAGGCTCAGCAAGCTTTCTTATACAGCCCCAGCCCACCTGCTTAGGGATGGTGCTGCCCACAGTGGGCTGGGCCTTCCCACATCAATCACCAATCAAGATAATCGCTTACAGACTTGTCTACAAGACAACCTGATCTGAAACCTTCCTCAATTGAAGTCGCCTTTTCCCAAATGACTGTAGGTTGGATCAAGTTGACAATGGAAACCAGGACAGAGTCTTTCTTAATCCAGTCAACTTGATAACCAAACTTAACCAACACACAGTGCCCCGAGAGTGTAAGAGGATTTTGGAGAAGTGTGCTCAATGAAACCAGCCTGCACCTGCCTGGTACCATCTCCGCCACTATCACTGCCAGAGCTCATCTTTCCCCTGAGTAAAGCTGACCACTGATAACCAGCTCGGAGATGGTAGGAGACTGTGTCCTGCCTAGCACAGAGTTGTCACATAATCCACTCCTTTGACCTTCCCTCAGCACAGCTGGCTGACATCACCTTCTATGAGGAGCCCAGAGAAAAGCTAATATCAATCCCATCTCCTTAGATGACACACCATCCACCATCACCTGGACTGAGGGCCATCAGTGGTACTACCTGGAGGAAACGGTGCTTCTACCACAGAGAAGGGCGTGAGGCCTCACTGAAAGTCCTGGTAAGCAATGCCAGCAACTTACAGAAGAAACTGGCAAGTCCTGACCCATAAGCCGAAGGAGGAGGCTGATACCTGGAGTTTTCTATAATGGCTCTGGGGGTGTGGGCCAAGTGCCTGCTTGTGAGGTGTACTGGATAGCTTTAGTGTCAACTTGACACACCTGGGTTGAGGGAGCCTTAATGGGGAATTGCCTCTATTGGACTGGCCTGTGGCCACGTCTGAAGG